AGCACACCCCCGCCGGAGGCCGAAGATCCTGAAGGAGAAGGCTGTGCCCATGATCGAGGGGTACATGTTTGAGGAGCACGAGCTGATCCGGCTGGCTGCGACAGAGTGCATGTGCAACATGGCCATGAGCAAGGAGGTGAGAGCTGGGCCGGGGCGGGCTGGGCATCTGCGCTGGGCTCCCAGCCCCCCGCACCCCCCCACGACCTTTTCTGAAGGAGCCCAGAGGTTCTCTGACTAAGACATGAACTGGTGACCCTCCTTCATTCCCCCTCTCTGACTCAGAAAATGAAGTGCTGTTGTCTGCTTCGCCATGGCATTTCTGCATATCACAGGCACAGAAGAACAATGTGACCCATGGAGACAGAACATGCAGCAGGAGAAGCAAGCATGAAAGAGGCTTGGACATCACTTAGCTGTATCGTCTGCATCTTGTCTGAAATCATTAATGTCTCTAACCCTCCGTGTGGTGTATATGAAATAACGGGTAGATATGCATCTCATAGGGTGGTTTTACCAGGCAAAGGAGGTACAGTACACTCCTTAGCAGATCCTCACAGTACTATGGACCAGATAAGTAACCATGCTAAAATCCTGTCCCATGGAAACGGTACAAAATAGACTCTTCTTATGTTCTGTGTTTGTACCTCAGCTTGCAAAGAACCAGGAGGAAGAGGGCTGCGTCTCCAAGCTGTTAGGGGGACACCATAATGTGTATCTTATCTCCTTGAGTTAAGCTGGTCAGGGGTGATGGCACTGTGTTAGGAATGCTCCCCTTTTCTCTTAATAGTGCAGGGATGAAAGGACTACCTAATGCAAGGGGATTGCGATGAAGGGGAATTATTGTGGCAGAGCTAAGGCCACAGCTGGAAGCTGTGCAAGTCTGCCCAGGCCTGTGGATGTGTGTGCTGGGGGGGCACTGGTGCTCCCAGTACCTGGGCTGGTTAGAAGACAGCTAGATATGCAAGTACCAACTGCACCTCTGATTGCAATGTTGATACAGTCTTGGTTTTAAAGGAGGCTGGCTGTGTCTCATACTGATCCCTCCAGCCTCCTGTCACGCTTTCCTAAGCTGCATTCCCTTGTTTCTTTGTTTTCAGGAAAAGCCCTGTCTCACTTAAAAAATGATCTCACATAGAGCCGACCTCAGATCTTCCTGGTTTCCCAAGCACAGAGTTGTTGTTCCATAGCACAGAGGTCTTCGATTCCTTGCTCTGTGTGGCAAACACCTACTTTCTGTCTCTGAGATTTTGTTATTTGTCCGTTCCTCTTTTTTTCCTTCTTTTCCTCTCTGATTTTCATTATTCTGGGATTGAAATGGAAGTAATAAGAGCAGGACAGCTGTCTCCGTTCTTCCTGACCAGTTTAATGGGTCTGTGATTTCATCTTATAGCTGTTAGCACTTGAGTTTCCTTCCAGCTCTCTCCTGCCTCTCACCTGCGTGTTGCACAAATGCAAGCCTGTGTGCAGTGAGCGTGCATATTGTTCTGCATGTACAAAGGTGCTTCATAATAAGGAATATGAGAAATATTGTCCGCATATTGAATAATCCCTGCGCATCTATGAAAAGTTCTTTTCTACTGTGATCATGCTTCAAAAAAAACAGATTAGGAAGGTTCTGCTGCAAGTATGTCATGTGAACAGTTTCTCTTGGAAAAAGGGTGTTACTTTCTTTCCCCCATGCTTGTGGAAAACATGGTCATCATGTAACACTTGCTGGGATCTACCTTCCGTAGGTGGGCAAGGCCACTCTTCAGCTTTGATCAGTCCTTCATTACATAGTAAAATGCTCATGTGTGAAACAGGAAAGAGGGAAGTAAAAGAAATTTGGAGTCTGGTGTTCAGTTGCTGGAACAATAAATGGTATTATTTTGACACAGAACCTTATTCTACTTGGTCTTTAGATTTTAATGATAAATGTGAAGCCAATCAAGAATGGGTCCTGGCAGAAGGTCATATCACAGATGCACAGTTTATTTTGTTAATTCATATTATCTGTTTGAATCTGTTTCTATTTCCTTCTCTGTCTCTCTCTTTTTTTTCCAAAACAAAGTTAGAAATGAACTTTGGGTGTAAAGAATCAGCTATTACGCACATACAGAAAGGAGCAGTTTGTTAGCTTCAGTTAGGTTACAGAGGGGAAGGGCTTAGGAAGGGAAAAACTTAAATTGCCAAAACACTTGCCTTGTGCATTTTCCTGGGATTTGCTCCTGACTGATTCCTCATGTCCGGAATTATAGTCTCGTTTCCAGTGGGGTGGGTGAGGATGAGTATGCTCTTTATGCAGCATAACGTTCCTGTTGTTTGCACAGATCCAGCTCTGGAATGTTGAACTTACTTGAATAAGCCTTGAATAAGGATGTCTTGTGGAATTACCTTTTCTGTGTTACAGCACTAATTCCTTGTTTTCTTTTCCTTTACAGCTAGAACATATTCAGAAACACATATGGTATATGTAAGTAACACTTTTTTAATTCACTTTTGCATTCGTTTGTTATTGGTTCTGTTACGGGAGCTGATATTCTAGTGACCTCGAAGGAGAGAGACTGGAGTTTGAAAGGAGCTTTCACACAGGTGGAGAAAGGGGCGGAGGACAAAAAGGCATCTAATGTGTTTTTTTTTTACCCTTTGCTTCTCATATAATTTCATCTATATATATATATCAAGCCAGGAACTTTTTATATAGTGGCTAACAATTGTGTGAAATAAGACGTTCAGTCCAGCAACTTGCTGTGTTAAAAAGATACCTGCAAGTGATCAGCAAAAAAGCCCCCAACTAACAGCTGTATTTAGTTTGCTATCCAAGAGCTACAGACAATCCCTTGTAATACCTTCTTGACAAGAAAGCTTTCGTTCGTTCCTCCTTGGCATCTTGGCTTTTCTCTGAAGTAGAAACAAAAATGATGATATTGATAAGTAAGCACCTGCGAACAAGAGCTTTTCTGTCTCATAATCCCTACTCCCTCTTCTTCGCAGCAAGCTAAGAGGCTGCTTCTGACCTTGTAACCTGTTGATGTGAGAGTAGTTCTGTGAGTTGATTAAAAGCAGCAGTCTTGACAGTGAAACAGGAGGTCTGTGAGAAAAGTACACGCCTGTCTAGTGGTTTGGGTATAAGGAAGATGGATGGCTTTTAAAAGTGACCTTGCACTTTGTGTAGCCTTAATAGCATTTCAAGAAACCTAAATAAATAACTTCTTTTTTTTTAATACTGATGATAACCTAATCGAACTAAGGAGAATACTTTACATATTAAACAAGGAAATGATGCTTTGATACATGCTTCGGGGGGTCAGCATACCTACAGGTTGCCCAGGTGGGTGATAAGGAAGGTCCTGCCTTCATAATCCTATCATTGCTCTTGGGAAATACTTGAGGATGGTATGAACTGATATTTAAGCCTGTCACCAGGAAAAAAAAACAACTTTGTTTTGATTTGTTTTGTTTTCTCTAATTCTATCTTATGGGCAATGTTCACTTCTGGATTTATCTGACTTTGATAGGACCTGAGGGCATTCAACAGTTTGTTGAATAACATGGTTTTTTGTTAGTTCACCTGAGATGGTGGCAGCACTCTGCCCGTGGCTTTTTCATGCTCTCTACAGTTACCAGTGGACATGGCACCTTTTTAAACCAAAGAAGGACTAGAGTGTTGTTTGCTGCAGATATTTTTTTTTAAACTCTCATGGATAAGTGTAGGAGAAATGGAGGGGGGAAATCTCTAATTGTAATCTCTAAAATACCCCTCCTATAATGTCCTAGCAATTCCGGAAGTAAATGCTGTTTACATCAGACTGGGTAGATGATCCCCGCTCCTTCTTCATGGAGTGAAATCAGCTGACTTTCTCTGTGCTTTGATCAGAACAGGAATAGGAAATAAAATGAAATGTCATTGATCACTTAATTCTAACCCTCCTCAAGATTTTTGCCTGGAAGTTTTCACCTGTTGGAGGACTGTTGTCCCGGGCTCACATGCACAATGTGAGGTGTTATTTCATGACTTTATTCTAGATTTAGAATTTGAAGATTTTTTTCTTTGCAGACATAAGAGTTTGAAGATTTTCATGTACTTCTCGGCGAAGATCAGACTCTCTGATGATTGACACAGTAAACCGTTTTTTACCCCAATGGAAATGGCATCTGAGGCTGTTTTCAGAAGTTGAAACTGAGTTTTGCAAAAGCAAGTCTCCCCTAGACTCCCAGTGTAGTCAATGCAGAGAGAGATAGGCTCTTCCAGAAGTCTGTTCAGAGTGCCTAAAACTGCTCAGAATAGCTTTTTTAATGAGTCTCTTTCTCATTTTCTCTATACTGGCCATGGATTGACCTAAAGAAGTTAACCTCCTTTGGCTAAATTTAGTCTGTGAATAACCCTGCCACCTCCAAAACTCAACTACTTTCGTCTAGTAATGTTTCACAGCCTCTTTGCATTCATTTTGCCTGGGAATATTGATGCTGACAGAGAAGGAGGGGTTATAAGTGTTTTACTCTATGGCTGTTTTGCTCACATTTCATTTTTTCTTTATTTCATGTAACACTACTATTCTATGTAAAATCTTCATTCTTTGTCATATATAGGTTACTGACCTGAAAGTTGTACTCAGAACATATAAGTGATTTCACTTAATTCTTCAAATAAATATTAAGGCTACTGTAAAACTGAGGAAAAGATTTAATTGCAGACTAGGCAGACAGAGAAAGAGGTCTTGAAAGTTGAAATCATGATTCACAAGCCTAAAAAAAGGAAAAAAGAAACCAAAGAGAAACCTTTCATCACCAACCTCCAGTTCTTCTTGCTCTCCCACCCAAATTAATTTAGTGAGGTTTTTTAAGCCTTTTTAATTGGAATCATTTATTTTTACCTGAAGCGCAGGTTATCATAAATCAGCAAATAAACAGCAGTTATTTTCACATTTTTTTAATAAAGCAAGAGGGCAAATAAAAGTAGCTATTATGGTAAATACATACTCCTGTAACACTGGGTTACTGCTCTAATTGTGAAGGTACCAAATTTACTAAAATCAGAAAAAGAGTAACTGTACCGGTTCTGCTTTACTTTGTACTGATGCAAATGTGCGTCTTGGTGAGATTCACGAGGGAATTTCATGGAGAGACTGAAAAAGTCCACCCTAGTCTGGAATCACAGGCCTTGTATGCACCCATCCTCGCAAAAGAGGATGGGTTTTAAAGCAGCAATTACATTCATGCAAGCCTTTAAAAAATATACGTGGTTTGCAGTATTCATTGTGTGACATTGTTTGATGTCTGCGTGGGCTGAAATGCAACAAATTTGTCACTCTCTACTAGACTGAGAATGGAACAGGGAATACAGTCGTGCCAGTCACAGCCCAGACCCAGTGATTTTCGTTTCCTGAAGCACTGAATTGCGTTGCCAAATGACGAGGCGCCTCTTTGCAGATTTTGCTTGTACCTGATGAGGAGGTGTGAAAATTCCTGACTATGTCTGAGGCTGACCAGGTGCAGGGCATAAGGAAAAGCCACTTTTCAGTGCACAGAAGATGGCAAGCTGTGCTCTCTAGAAATGGCTCCCACACTGATTGGTATAAAAGAAGCTTGCAGGTGATAATTCTGCTATAGACTAGGGCAACTAGTAGGAAACCCGGATTTTCTGGAAATTTTCAAAAACAATAATTCTTTTTTATCTCTTTAAATTACCTTAAGGACATCTAATTGTAACATAATGAATGATTGATTAAGTCAATACTTTTTAAAAGAGAACTCCAGATCATTAAAAAACAAAAACACTCAGCTGCTGTTCAAAGGTCCATCCTGTAAGAAATTATCTTAATGACAAGGTCATCACTGGCTTTAGTACTGCAAGGTCATGATCTAATCATTTGTTATTACTTGCTGAGAGCTAGATCCTGATCCTAAGAGGTAGGAGTAGGAGCATCTACCTCTTGAAGACAGGGCACTCAAGGAATAGTTGAACAAGGATTTTTCAGTCTAGCCCTTAGATTCAGGACCATGGTGTCATTGCAGAAGACATAGACACTTCTGTGAGACTCCAAGGAGGCATCAGAAGCTGTGTTTTAGTTTGACACACAAGTACGAATCCCAAGGAACAGATTCTGTCTCTGTCCTGTATATTCTGCTTCCAGTCCCCAAAACTGAATAAAACTGAGCAGGGTGTGTGTGAGAGCTCAATGTGAGAGAAGTGGGATCTGACCCATGTTGGCATGACCCATGTAACACACACCAGAGTCTGACTCCATGACATGTGTCCAGGAAGGGCTCAGCACATTTTCACTGCTTCAAGAAAAGATAAAACGAAAATTTCCGAGGAGTCTTTCTGCAAGTGATGTCCCACAAACATGGTTAACAGAGCAGATGCCTCACAACTGCATTTCAACTTGCTTAAAAATAAATTGCAAGTAGCACCCAGCAATCTCTTGTGATTCAGGTGTAGCATGTAACTGTCCTGTCCCAGCATCAGAGCCCTGGCTGCAATGACTTAGTATTGCCTTCTTACGTTGGAGGAGATAATCTGCATTGGCTCTCTTTTTGGTACATTGGCTGAGACCTTGAGCTCACATGCATGATCCTACCAGAGTTGCTTTCTAATCTACCCAAGAAAAATTAGGTGCATTTGAATTGGAGCTCCTTCTTCTGTGTAGATAATTGGATAGCTCACATCTGAGCCCAGAGCATTTTAAGCAGTGTGAAAAAGTTCACAAGTTTTCTTCACCATATTTCTGCCAGCATGCAAAGGAAGAATATCTTGCCCAAATAACACAGCCCCATAAACAGCAAACGCTGACATCTCATGCAGTTTAAATATTCCCGATTCCTGTTGCCCACCCTCGGAGCCTGGACCCAACAGTCACACATTTACATCACGTAAAGGAAAGGGAGGACCTCACCCACAGAGCAGGAGAACCTCGATGTCGCACAAAGCATCCACTGAGAAATAGCAAAGATTCAGGTAGACAGTTTCTCCAACCAAATACCACCACGACCAAACCCACCTCTTTGGGTGCATAGAGTTTACATAAATTGCTCCCTGCTTACTTAAAACAAAATCAAAGGATATTCGGGGTGCCTGCAATATATATAATTCAGTCAGTTTTAGCTACCCTGACACCTTGACCTGTTTCGTACAGTCATGGCCTTTAATTGCAATGAATAAGCAATATTTCCAGAGTCTAGTGTGTGGGATGAGACAATTATGCAGGAAGCCTGTGTTAACTACTTCTAAAAGAGTAATATGCTCTACCGCTAATGGTGTATTCCTAGGTCTGCCACTGACCTCGGGCATCACACTTGGGCCACAATTTTCAAGTTTGCGTGTCTGAAGAGAAGCAAAGACTGTTGTATTTGGGCGTGTAAATAAACAGCCTGGTTTCTCCTGAAACCCTTTAAAGTATGTCAGGTTGAGACCTGAACACTGAGGTCTCTCAGTCTTTAAAGAAAGAAACTGCTGCAATGCCGGTTGTAATTGGAATTGGTGAAGAACACTGATGGTTTGTTCGCAGCTCCTTCTTTGAAAAAGAATCAGTCAGCTTGCACTTTTCAGCCTGATAGCCCGAGGTCTGACCTGCTGATGCGACAGCATCTCTAAAACCGCGTAGTGTTTTATAAATGTTTGGCATTAGGACACTGAACAGCTGCTTAAATTGTGAGGGCACTGATAAGTGAAGTTCCTACTGCCTTTCTGACTGAATGCAGACATTTCTCATTAAAGATCCAAATCCACAAGGTGCTGGTCACTCTTAGCCTTCACGGCGGTTTCTTCTGAAAAGAATATCTGTCTGGTTGCGAGCTCTGGTCTCTCAGTGGGAATTTGACAAGCTATTTCCATCTGTTGCTGCAGGCTGTTTCAGAGTACGGGTTCGTTTGTGACTCATGTTTCTTTTCTCTCCTTCTTTCCCTGCCCCCTTTCTCTCTCTCGTCTTCTTTCCTCTGCAGAGGGGGTAAGAACGAGCCAGAACCAGAGCAACCAATCCCTCGAAAGGTGCAGATTCGTTCTCTCCCTTCCTTGGAGGATATTGATCCAGACGTGTTAGATAGCATGCACTCGTTAGGCTGCTTCCGTGACCGAAACAAACTCTTACAGGACTTGTTGTCGGAAGAGTAAGCACTTGCTCAGTCTTAATATCAGTTGGGTGTCCACGGGCTGGGATGCTTATAAACCTGGGGAGAGGCAGAGATCACTTTAACATGTATCTCACTGTGAGGGACCAGTAGCAACTCCTCACCTGCTGGCTGCTCATTTGCTAGTGAGGTGTTGGGAGCAAGCACTGAGCCTTTCTTGCACCGTGTGTCAGAAGCTCCCAGCGTGACCAGCAGCGGAGGCATGGGGCTGGCTCTTCCCTTGCTGCTAGGCAAGGTCAGTTCCTGAAAAGATGGGCTGTGCAGTCCGAATGGGGAGGTATCATTGCTCTTATTTGTGTTGGATATGCCTTTGTTGGCAAATTTTTGTTTATTTCAAGCTTATGCCTGAGAGCTGGTGTATTTCCTGAGGTGTTGAGAGAGACACGTAATGGAAAGAGAACTTAGAGGCTCAGGAGACCTGTCTTGCTGCCACTCTTGGTTTGGAATTCCTGTGGACATGTTACCTCGTCTGTCCTGTGCCTCTGTTCTGTGTGTGTTACATGGGAATCATATTTCCTTTTCTCACTAGCTGCTTGTTGGAGACAGCAAGATTCTCAAAAGCTGTGTGGGTTGTGTGTCTCGCTGGCAGGTACATGACCATTTCCAGCTTATTTAGAATAACGGTAACTGTTTGTTTGATGAGAAGGGTTTATCTACATGTTTATGTTTTTTTGTCTTCAAATTTAAAGATTTTTCTTCTTTTTTGCAGAGAAAACCAAGAGAAAATGATTTATTTTCTTCTTCTTGACCGGAAGGAGAGATATCCTAGTCATGAAGATGAGGATCTTCCCCCTAGAAATGAAATAGGTACTACAGATGTGACCTCTGTCACCATGAACCCATCTCAACTAGTTCCTCTTCACCCCCCTTTTTTTTTTTTTTTTAAATATATACCCAAACCCTAGCATCACTGTTACCTTCCCACTGAAATGGCGTACGGCATTGGTGAGAATCCTCAGCCTGAGGCAGGCAGGTCTGTTCTGTGGTTAAACTCGAAGGCTTCATTTTTCAGGATGTGTCTGTCTCACAGTGCAGAAACATCCAAGTTGGTCTCGAACCAGATCTTAAAAAATATCATGTGGACCCACAAGCTGGATCTATGCAAGCAGATGTGGTTTAAAAGCAGTGTAGTTTAGTGGCAGAATTTTCTAATTACTAATCTACATGCAGTATTGCAGAAATGCTGCTTCTGGACTTGAGCTAGTAAGACTGTGTAGCATTGCATCAGTATGGAGTTACATATGTACACATTCTCTTTTCTGTAGGTAAATATATACACTGTTGAAAGTATGAATAATATTACATACCTGTTTATAGTACATACATCAAACTGCCACGTTTTTAGACTATCTTAGAAAGATTTTTAAAGCTTAATATGCAGTAAGATTATATATCTTATAAAGCTCTGGTGATACCACTTTATTCCTGAAGAATTGTTCATTAGTATTTTAGGGTACTGCTGATCGCCAAGGACTTCACTAATCTAGGCAACAGGAAAAAAGCTTCCCTGAAGAGCTAACTATATGAATGACTCTTGCTGTGCAGAGTGACAAAAGTTTAACTAATAAAGGATTAGTCACTTCTATCAATGACCTGAAATAGCATTTTTACATAGTAGTGTTGTGATTTTCAGGTATTGTATTTCAGCACTTCGAAGGCTAGAAGCAAAGTGCTCTTTATTTTCACAGAAAGCTTGGAATCTCCCAAACCTTCAGGGCAGTGGTATATTGAACTGTAAGTTTGTTAATACTCCATTGAATTATTATCCAAGTTCCAGGCTCCAGGCCCTGTAATTTTGCAGGGAAATCTCTTCTATGGAAGAAGAGATGGAAATTCTTAGTCAATTCTTAAACTCTTACCTGGATGGAGCTACAGAGAGCATGTTAGCAGGGATCCTGATGAAGATGGGTAGATGTGCCAACTGCAGGTCCTGTGGTCAAAAGCCCCTTGCTCAGTGCAGTTTGTCATCTAGCACTTTACTAATCAGCTTTTGACTCAAACAGATTATCCTGCAATGTAAGGACACCATCATCTTCTTTTAGAAATGTTTTTGTCATAAGAAAAGAAGCAAGGTGACTCTAGAATCTTCATATCCAGCATGTTAGTGAATACGTAGCTATGCCCTAAATACATCATATATCTCTCTCTCACATGCCAAAGTATTTTCATGGTTTGAACTGAAATATTATGCTTTACGCTTGTATCTTTTGTACAAGGAGTGAAAATGTTCCCCAACAGGGAAACACTACTCTGAATGTATAATTGTGCCTCATCGGCACATTTTAGACTCTTTGAGCATTACTCTTTGAGTGTTCGTAGGTTGTATTTCCTCTTCCACAGGGGGTTTCCACCTCCTCTGTTCCCAGCAGTATGTCTGAGAACATGGGGCAAGGTTTAATTAAGCGCAGTCATGCTTCTGATGAATATCTCATCATTGGCCATTAGCAATGGCCTTGCACAAACAAAGAAGAGCAGAGAAAGAATAACAGATTTAATAATAGCATCTTGAAGAAACCACATTCATGAGAGTTGTGCGTTGCCTGAGCTTTTGTCCAAAAAAAAAAGTGCATCTCAGAGTATTTTGCTTTTTCCTCTTTCTTTGCATGATGTTAGGTCTCAGAAGGGATGGATGCAGGTAAAAATATGGCTGGCTCAGACTAGCACTCCCTTCTGGTGTCCCTTTTGTGTGTTTCAGCTATATAAAGCTTTCTCAAAGGGCCAGGGAAGGGCCACCTTCTCCATCTTTTGAGTCCAGCTCCATTTTCTTTACCTGAAAACATAGAAATGAGAAACTTCTCAGTAAAATGAATGAATGTCAGCTAAGGTCTCCTTGAGGAAAAGGCTTTTGTGGGGTGGAGTTCTTAGTTTCTTAATAAACCAGAGAACAAGAGATTGGGCCAGAACAGCCATACAGGATATAGGTGCCTCATCCAAACTCAGAAGCTGAACTTTTATTTCCTACCTTCCAGATCAATACCTTTATAATGGGATCATTACCTATACGATTCTTTCTTCCTCTGTAAAAATCCTTAGGAATGGCTTCACTTTTCTGATGTGAAATAAAAGGAAAATGCATCACCAAAACTATCACAGATCCAGATTAGGACTTGATGGTTTTTTGCCCATGTGAAATTTTTCCAGAGTCAAGAAGAGAAGAGCAAACACCGGAGGTTTTCCTATTTTTAATTCCTGTGCTTCTGCAAAATCTTCTACTGCTTTTATATGACACCACTTTAGTCTTTGCGGCAGGATGGCTGTGTATTTAGCTATTTCTTTAGTGTCTTTAGACTTGACAGTGATGACAGACTCAGTGCCCTGTTGTTTCTTACTCAGACCCTTTTAAAAAGTATGTACAATACTTGCTACCCTCAGCCATCTATAGTGTAGTATTGTAGCCAATTTTTAAGAGAAATCAAATAGCTTTATTAGAAGCTCAACCACATTCATGCAAACTTCTGGATGTATTTTCCATCAAACCTTTGTGAATTGCTGTTGTTGAATTTATTGGTGTGTTTCACCACCTGCTCTTTTTGCTTAGTCTCTCTCTTTGATAGCTTAAAATATAGATTGAAAATCAATATCTTCCAGCATCTCGAGCAGCGAGGACTGATATAAAAGAACGATTTAGCTTGTTAGCGATATCCTTCTCCGCCTTAATTGTTCTGTTGATTCCCTCATGGTCCCTCTGGCTACTGTCCTTCTCTCAAGCTTTCTCTTTGTACAAAACGCTGTTATTCAAGTCATTAGCTGATTCCTTTTCAAATCTCTTCTTCCCTCTCTTTTGGTGTCCGCCTTATATTTGGCCTGTCACTTTTGTAAGTGTCACTCAACTAAATTTCCATTTGCTAAAGTCTTCTGGTTTGAACGTGCTTGGATCAAGTTGCCTTTTAAAATATCTGTTCATGAAATGTTTTTCTTGCCTTTTTCCATCTTTCTTGTTTAGACTCTATTATTAACTAACATTGATGCAGTCTGAGCTTACTCATCTCCATTCTTTTGACATTGACTGCTTTCTTCATCTTCCTTCTTCTTCCTTCTTTTTCCTGTCTTTTAAACTGCACTCTTCCACCTTCCTTTCTAATGTCTGATATCCCTCTGCAAAACTTGTATCAACTCTCTGTTGTTGATACCAAATGTAATTACATTGTCGTTATGTGTGTTACTCAACTCTAGTGACGCTTCTGATACCAGCAGTTGTCCTGTGGGATGAATCCTTTCTCATTCTTTGAACTTGTTTGAAGAAGCAAGAGTTTGAAATGTCTAAACCTTGTCCCAGCTTATTTTTCACCACTTACACATATGCAGCTGAAGTCACCCAGTGTAACTGCTTTATTAGGTTTATGTCCCTTTGTTTTTCCCTTAACTTTATGCACTATATATTTTTCCTAATCTGAAGGTCATTACCCCTACTAGTATTTTCTACTACCTTTTTATTACTGGACATAGTTTGAAATGGAGTGAGATACAACTGCTTTTTTTCTAATTAATTTTTAACAGGAAAATTATTACTATTAGTACAAAGCATATTTGGGTTATACAGTAACGGGGTCAGTTGTTATCACTAGCCCATTTGCATTTGAGCCATCTTTGCTCATGCTCATCGTTTCAAGAATAAGCCCTGCCCTAAAGGGATCTTGTTCTAAAAAACATGATGTGAGAGAGGGAAGAAACAAGCAAGTAGATGGGGGGCGTGAGGAGGGCAGGATGATAAAAATAATACCATCAGACTAGGCAGTAGAGGTAAAATGGTCAAATGCAATATTACTGGTTTTACAAAGGAATCCTGGCAGAGGAAGAAGCCTTAGGGGATGGGCGCTGTGAGCTTCTTTCTAACAGTAGGGGTGAAGGATGCCTTTTTTTACAAGTGGTCAGCCTCCACTAAAATTAAAAATGCGTCTGTAAATAGAGGCAGGGAACTGAAATAGCCCAACCAAAGAAAAGAAAATCCTTCTGTATTTTTTTTCTGCCTTCCTTCTTTTTACTGTTTTGATGCCATGGGAGATGTTAGTTATAAAACATCTCAGCAGGTCTGCATTTGGTTCCCTGCTTCACTATGGAGGTGTGTATGGTTTGGCAAGTCACCTAGGAGCGCTTTCTGCAGTGCAGTTTGATATCTAAAGACTCTTCAGAGCAATTTAGGTGCTCCTTAGAAACTAGGTAAATGTTTGTCAGCACCTATAGGAATTAATTGCCTTTAAATATCTCATTCTTCTACCTCAGTGTTCACGCTGCAAAGTGAAAGTAGCACTTCAATACCTCATAGAAATGTTACACAATAAAAAGTGTAAAGCACTTCAGTTACTATAGTAGTAAAAGCTGTACGGTGACCTCTGAGATAAATTTTACTAGTTCTCATTGGAGATTCATCTCAGGTAGGCAAGTATGTTTAATTTGTAATGCTGAAGGAGGAAAAATATAAAGCAGTGGGGAAAACCTGAAATCTAATCTTAAAGATGCAAAAAAAGGGTATGTTTTCAGAGGAGAATGCAATTCTGAGTTCAGAGTGTACTCATGTCTCTGTGTCACATTTAATCTAGCTAGCAGGGACATCAAAGGCAAGCTCTAGCAACCTGAGTGCATATACAGGATCCCTAGATGGCTTATACTCTGGCTAACAGCTTGTGCTATAGCCCATGCTGTCATCTTGTTATTACTGTTATCAGCTTTGTAAGGTAATTTCTGCAAGCTATGCTATAGTTGTAACTTTATTTTACAGTGCTCATACATTCAGGGCGGTAGCAGTGCTCCTTCTCTCTGTAGATGGATTGCAACTTACGTCTTAATGTTTGCAAATTTGGAAGAAGGGAGAGGCTGCAAATGACCATCTCCGTCATGACGATACCTGTCTCTGTGGGGGAGGTGTGAGAGTGAGGTTGTTGAGAGAGGATTAAACCAACCTGTGTGAGGTAAGTCACAGCCCAATTCAGCTGACAGCGTTTTCTTTTCATAAAGATCCCCCCAGGAAGCGTGTGGACTCCCCAATGCTGAACAGGCATGGGAAGCGGCGGCCAGAAAGGAAGTCGATGGAGGTTCTCAGTGTGACAGATGGCGGCTCCCCAGTCCCTGCTCGCAGAGCTATTGAAATGGCACAACATGGACAGAGGTGGGTCTCTCCTTTACCCAGGAGTCCTGCCTGTCTGGGTTTGCTACCCCCTTTTATGTTATACATACAAAGGAGCTGTGGAGCTTTTCTGTTCGCACCAGCACTCATTACAACTTCCAAGCACGTTTGCACATGATCTGGCAGCCAGCAGCACACAGGACCAGAAGTCCTGCCAGGAGCTTAAGGGTTCTGTTCGCTTGCAGCTATTGCTCAAGAAACCACCATGTCCTCTGTGCAAGATTCATCTCACCTCTTTTTTATTGTCGAGAACATAGGCATTCAGTCTAAGCTTGTGATACAGGCTGTCACTCTAGGCAATGGGGACAGACGAGGGCTTTGGAAGGTCTCAGATACATATGTCCTCTGTTCCAATAATCTTAGATGGGATAAATTACCCTCTGGTCGTTCCTCTCTGTCTCCATAGCCTACAACAGGAATCTAGATGACTATCTTGGATTAGGTGCCTAGCTTTTGGGCACCCGAAGTTGAATGAGATGAACCCCACCCTCCATGTCATCAGAACAGCTTGAATCTGGAAAGCCCTATCCAGGCATCTGAAGATGCCTCCCAAATGTTCTGTCAGAGCCAGCGTGCATCTGACCCACATAAATTACCACATGCCTGTAAAGTGATGGAATATTTACAATTTTGCCTCTTTTCTGTCAAACGAAGTGTCAGTCTTGTGGAGAAACAGCAGAGGAAAATGGTGTCTCCTCAAGGCAGGTTCTAGGAGAGTAAGTGAACTGTGGAATTCACTTATTTGAACCATGGAAGTTGCTTCCTTGGTCCCTAAGACTAGCCTAAGGGAAGCATGTGCATTTGGATTCACACTTGCATAAATCAGTCAATATAAAAGAACACTTCACATATATGTATGCTGATGATGCTGTAACTTATGTTTCAGCTTTATGACATGATTTTTTTGTTCAGCTGTTAAGATCTGCTCAAAAAGAGCCTGCTGTGCCCAGAAACTCCCTTTGCTGACTGAGAGCTGGGTGAAGAACGTGAAATAATTTCATGTCCAGAGGTCCCTAGAATTGCTGGCAACTGTTACAGTTCTATCTACAGTGAGGAAAAAGTGGTGATTTCCAGAATCTGCTAGGACTTATTTCAGACTGGATATGTGGCCTTGAGATACACTGCCATAAAGATTTTTCACTGTAGTGTAGGTTGGAAACCTGTCTTGAATATGTGGTTTGCTTTGATAAGAGGTCTGGGAGAAGGAAGCGTTCAGGACAGGGTGTGCTTTGTGTTCCTCATAAGCCTCAAAGCGATAAGGATGAACACCACACTGACAAACAGTTGCTCACTCCTTATTCAGCTTGCAGTGTTTAATCTGGTACCTGGTAGATGCATGGGCCATGCAGCTCCCAGAGCCAGACGGAGGTGAATCACCTTCCCCCACCCTAAGGCTCCTGTTGAGTCGCAGTACTCTGCAGCTGTTGACAGTAAGTGTCCAACTGGGTGGAACAAACAGGAGCTGTTAGATTGATCCCGAAGTTTTCTGAGAGCTGAAAACCTTCTCTTTCAGCTCTCAGCTTTGATTTGGATTCAAAAGTCTGAAGAGGCAAAGCTGCGTCTTGCTATCCAAAGTATTTCTTTTGCTTTTAAATGTCTCACTCAATTCTGCAGAGGAGGAAACAGTTGAAGTCAAAAGGTCTGAGATGAGTTCAGAGCAGAAACATATCCAGGCTACATATCAGTAAAGAAGGGCTTTGGCTTAAGGAGGAAGCGAAACCTGCCAGGCACAAAAGAGATACAGGGCAAGGCATACCACAACTCAGGGCTGGACATAAAGGTGTAATTAAGGGTGGAGAAAGGGATGTAATAACACCATGATTGATGATGATGGGCTTGGTAGTGCTTGTTTTGGAAGGGGTTAAAGGGGAGATGTTATTTTACTCCATGTGTGAGCTTCCATAATTCATACCATCCACATCCACAGATGACAATAGCACATTTTGTGTTGCTGGCAGCACAGTCGTTTATAACGTGAACTGGCTTCATTAACGAACACCACTGCATGGGGATTGTCTGGGGACGATGCATTGCTGATGGGGCACCATCTGTCCGAACAGTCAGTAACAAAATGACAAGTGCCTTCCACCAAGAGTGGGGGATTTTTAATGGCTAGTCACATATTATATTCCATGAAAGGACCCGCTGACAGTGGATTTTACAGCAGTAGGGCTTAGATCCCGGAACTGGATGCTTTTTTAAGAATGACATTTTTTGGTCTCAACAGATGACTATCCAATGCTTTTATCCTACAATACTAGGAAGACAGGGATGTGGACCATGGAAACAGGTCTCCTGTTTAGACATGAATGAGTTGTGTAAACATCCCGAGACACAGAGCCATTGCTTTTTTCTTGAGCTGGCAGAGATACTCTTCTAACCAGTGGGCAGAACACACCCATGTGTCTTGTGATTTAGTCCTATTGTCCTGTTTCCCAGTAGTAAACAGATGTTTGCTTGCAAAAAGGGGATTTATGTTATAACCTCTGGTTTATGTGTCTGTGTGATGAACTGTGCTTTTGGTAACCATGTGGGGACCCTACAAGTGTCTGGTCTTGGCTTGTTTAAGGGCATATCTTTCCATTGAGATTTGAAACTTGGCAGCCTTCAACCCCACAGGCTGAGAAAGTATTAAGTGAAAAATATAGTCCTTCAATGACTTAGTTTTGGATAATGGAGATGGGGAACTCAGCACAAAGGCTGCTTGTTGAGCTCACAGACTCCTTGAAATGCTTGTGCTGACCTCTCCAAGTGTTCTCCATTGGGTCTTTGTATATGGCAAAGTTAGTATGCACAAACACCAGCCACCCTAAAACTGGTGACTAAGTTTTGTTAATTCTTGGTTTTCCCTGCTAGTTGTCAACTAAATGGGTTCATAATTACATCTTAATTGCTTCTGCTGTTGTGGTATCCACACCTCTCAGACTATCTGGTATTTCATTGAAATGTCAAAAGAAAAGAGGCAGGTTCTGAGCTTAGTTTAACACCAGCTAATTTGTCCCATGTGCCAAAATCACAGAGACTAGGAAGAATTCCATGGGAGCTAGAATCCCTTGGGGATGTGCCAGAAATTTTCAGCAGCTCTGCTGTGAGAGTCCAAAAACCGTTCTAAAATGGGCTTCATTAACTATTCATTTTCTTCTGGTTATTGAAGTGGATAGCTTGCGTGAAAGATAAGCTAACATTAGGAAGCAGTGTTCTGTGAAACAGTGAAGCATATTACCAGTGAAACATATTACAGAGAGCTGCCCCTTTAGCAAAGCATAGGGAATTTTGCTTCTAAGCTTCAGGGATTCAGACCCAAGATGATAAAGCAGGGCATTTCTCTATACACTGAGTAGAGGGAAGAGAACTGGGAGTAAGTGGTAATGGACCCTACAAATTAGAATACAAAATGGATTACTGTTCCTCTAAGAGGCTTTATGGTCTGATTTTAACTTTTTCCCAGATTATGCTTCGTGTTGAGGTCTTCAGGAAAAGTCTGAGTAATGAGCGCTTTGCAATTCGTGCCTTCAGGCATGTTCTATTTTCCCTGGACAATGTGACAAAGTAGATGGTACCTGGGCTTTCAATTAGATAAAGGAGAGCAGAGTTTACAAGTATGTATGGGGGAAGTCATCCTAGACTGCAGAAGTCAGGGGAAGATAATGAACTTCAGCACTGTGTAGGCTTGAGCCATAGTGGGAAAGTAAAATAAAGGTTTTTCAGAGCATTGCTTAAAAAGGGGAGGATGGGTTGGGGGGCTGGGTGTCCAGCATTGCTTCAGGTGACTCTCTTTTATAAATGTCCACACTAGTAACTCTGTTTTCTCGCTTTGTTCCTGCCATAGTAAAACAATGTTCAGTAAAAGCCTGGATATCTCTGAAGCCAATCCCAAATTCAACAAAGAAGAAAGGTATAAACACTGACAATATGTTCCTCTCCTCTACCTCACTGCTGAGACCTTAAAGATGCAGTACTTACCTTCTCCGTGTGGGGACCTAGCTGTTCTCTCTTTAGAGAGAAACAAAGAGGGTGGGATACATGCAGCCTGTGACTGTACCGACATTTTCCCCACTAAAATTTCATCCTACTGCTACTTCTGGTTCAGTTCTGCCATGAGTGAGGATGCCCAAGGTAGAAGATGTATTTGCTAAGACTGCTCTGGGAAGGATCGGAATATAAAACACTAGGAAAGCCCAGACTGCTCCACTCCCAGCACTAGAAACAGCAGCACAACTGAGTCAGTGACAACAATGGTAGGAAACTTTGGAAATCCCGTCTGACAGAGAAAAATATTAAGTGCCTGTAGGTAAGAGAAAAACTGCTTAAGACTACCCTGGCTGCACCAGAGAACACAAGAGGAAAAGATGATCGAAGATGCGGTTTTTGGAAGATGATTCCAATCTAGCAGTTCAAGTGACAGATGGTGAAGAATAACAAAAAGGGTAACTCCCAACTGTGAATAGAGACACAGTGAAAGATATGCAGGCCACCAGGTTTAGTGAGTTTAAGTGGACTCATGTGGGTCCATGAACAAAAAAAAAAGTTTAGACTTTTGGGAAGGTTTTTAGTGGACATGTTGTTCCTAAAATTTCGGTCTCAGAGGAAAAGAATTTTTCTCTAATGTTAAAAGCTGGAATCCCAATGGATAATTCTTCATCAAAATGTAATCCTTACACATTTTGGACAAACACTTAGCTCACCCAAAGGTTAGGAGTGTTCCAAATGATTCAGAAAGGGGGAAGCAGTGGGTTCCTTAAAGGAACCTATGGACTTGGCAAACCATTCTTCTTTCCATTTCCCCTTTTCATAGAAACCTTTCTATTTAAAGATAAATGTGGCCTTTAAGCCTCAGGAGACTTGTAGGATGTATGAGGGACAGCCCGCATTTTGGCCTTTTGCAGACTGAGGCAGTCCTTTGTGGGCAGCGTTTCAAGTCTTGAACCTGCCACCATGAGGAACATTGTGCATCTGCAGGAGAGATTGTGCCTCACGTGGTG